CCGGGGGGGGGGGGGGGGCGTGTATCTCGACGGGTCCAGTCTACATCGGATGGGGATTACACTGATTGCATTAATCCGATTTACCGCAGAGAGTTAATTAGGCCTTGGAGAGATTATACCATTTACCTCCATTCCCATATACCCACCCTGCACCGGCACTACAGATGAATTAGATGAATCAGATGAATCAGATGAATTAAGGGACGAACACGGTGTCAATGGTTGACGCTGATCGTACAGTCCGCGTAAATGTAGGATGTTTGCGTGATACGTGCTGCGAGTTTCCAGAACGGAGGAGAACGAAAGGCATCCGGGGGTTGGCAGCCCTCGCTGTACTAAAGAGGAGGCAAAGTTCGAGGCGCCGTTCGAGCAAAGTAAGAAAAGCTTTCGATGGCTTAATGAGTTTGTTGAGCCTTCAGTTTTTTTTTCGTGGCGAGCACGAGAGAAAGGAGATTGGTGAGGAGGGATTGCAGCCAGCCCCTTTCGACTGGCCTTTACGTGGCTCGAGCTCCTGTCTTTCACATTTTCCGGCACGTAGGTTGCTCTACTCCATACCTGTCGTGTCTCCCGGGAGAGCTGTTTACATCCCTTAGGAGGGATCGGTATACTAAAGAGGATCTCTGTGCCTCTGAAAAGTATCCCTTATACGTAGCACGTAATGCAAAGTGCACTAACCGAGACGCACTGCCCATTTTTTAGTCTATATTCTTTTTCCCATTTCCTCTTTTCTCTTCAGTTCCCGTTCTCGCTTTCTCGCATTTCGTATTCTTCCTCGGCATTGCACCGCCCCGTTTTTCCAGCATTTCACATTCTGTGCCTCGCGAGCCACGAATGAAATATAAATGCCTGCTACCCCCAAGGATGCTGCGAGAGACTCCTCTCGAGCGCGAAACTCGACGTTTAGTCGGGTGAAAAGTGGGAGTGTACCAAGGAATGCAACGCTCGCGGACGGAGTGAGAGGATGGACCACCAGAGAAGGAGTGCAGCTGCGCCAGGCAGTGCGAAGGGTTCGGCTGGGATGCACCGAACTTTCTTCCCCCTACACTTCCTCTTCCCTCTTCCCAGACTTGCAAGATCTCAAGGAACTGGAGCACGTTGAGATCCGCAGGGAGGAGGAATGATCAGGCAGCGAAAGTCAATCTGAAGTCCTCCTGATTTCGTTGCGTCATTCGCGGCCATCTTGCCTCCTGCGCAGGGCAATGCACTTTTGAAGATTGCACATCGAATGTGCACTGTCATCCCTTTAGGCTCTCTCACTCCACGTAGTCGGGAGCAGCATCGGGAGGCGTTCCAATGCAGTCAGACCCATTGGCCTTTCCTGCATTAAGCTGTAACGGTTGGAACTGCCGAGCAAGACCAAGATTACCCCGTTCGGGTTTGCCTTCGAATGGGGGTTGTGCGTGAGAGGAAAGGAAGTCCGAGAGCATAAGAAAACTTCGAAGCCAAATGGAGGCCGCCCTCTTCGTCAGGGGTTGGGCCTATTTCGCACTTACACGAGATCATCCACAGTCATCGTCTCTCTCTCTCTCTCTTTTTTATTAAATTACTAAACTACTGAACCTGCACGTGGACGCACGGAAGCTGCAATAGTTTCAATGGCTCAAACTACGTAGACGCTGCGATTCCTACTTCGCATCCGGTCGACTTTCCCTCCGTTCTCTTAGTGTTTTTCTTCTTCTTGTAAAAAGTTGAGTCGGTCGGCCAGTCGCACTGGCACTCGCTCTACCAGGGACCGGAAGCAGGGGCAAATTCGCAGTCTTATGAAAATCAATAGACACGGAGTTGGGCTGCAGGGGAATGGGAGTAGAAGTAGGCGGAGTATAAGGGATGGAAAAGAGATTCGAGTCGGCCAAGTCTCAACCAACGGCGGTAAATGGGATAATTCGACTCGTCGATGTATTCAAGGGGCCTTCGTAACGAGCTGCATTTCTCACGGGGAATCGCGAGAAATGTAGCCCTGCCTCGTATCAATGAAGCTCTCGAGACTTTTCCCTCTCTCTCTCCCCCACACACACAACTTCCTTCGAAACATCCCTTATTACTACTCGCTCCTCTCGTCGACTCGCGTCAATTTCTCATTAATCCCGTCTGCCTCTCTTCATTGATTCCAGCGATTGTGTCGGCCCTTGTCGGCCCTTGTCTGCACGTTTCAACCGTCTCCGTCTCAACCCTCGGAATCCTTTATCCAGAAGTAAGTTGTGGCCTGATTGTTTAACAAGTACATCCATCTTCTTCAATTTTACCCAATGACGCCTTTGCTTCCTATTTGCATGAAACTTCCTAACCCGCCCGCAGGGTTCGCTGTTCTTCGATTGCACTTTGACCCGATTACGGAAGAAGAAGAATAATTTACTCGAGTGTAATAGTTATAATTTCTCCGTCCCTCCAGCCTCACCTGGTCCATCCCTTCAGGCAGCTGGAAGAGTCGAGTGCTCCATGGAGTACTGGGGGGTTCACGCCTCTCCACCAAGTATTATATTACGTGGGGATCTGGCACCAAGGGGTGAAAGAGAGAGAGAGAGAGAGAGGGGGGGAGAGAGAGAGAGAGAGAGAGAGAGAGAGAGAGAGAGAGAGAGCAAGAGAGAGGAAGGAGGAGACTCGCAGGAAGCTCAGGACGAACCCTTAATAAACTCTCCGCCGGGCGAACTTTGTCACGCGGATCATGTGCGATCTATAAGTCAGCTCCGTTGGCAAGGGGTGGAAAGATTTAACCCGACACGAACGCAGGGGGTTGATGGTAGTTTTAATATAGGGGTTAGCCCACCGCACGAGTCGCGCGTACGATAGTGTCGTCGCGGCGGCAGGAATGCCAGCACGTCTGGAAATGCAAGGGATGGTCTTCGCCTGGCTTAGTTGCCCGGCGAACAGTATAGTGGAGCTGGAAAATCTCATGGGTTGGATCCTTGAATAGGGGAATCGGCCGATCATCCCTTCCCGATGGACCAATATCGGGGAAACACCCACGCGGGTCACCATCGTTCTTTTCTTTTGGGCTCTCTCTCTCTCTCTCTCTCTCTCTCTCTCTCTCTCACTCTCTCACTTTCTCTACATGAATTTTCAAAGCAAATCATCGACATGACAACCGCTGACTGAGTCGCGATCAGGATTCCCATATTCGGCAACGCAAACCACGGCTAAATCTCATGGCGCATCGAGAAGAACAAGATAAGCGGCAAAAATAAGTAAAGGGCAAGGGGGCGCAAGGATGCTGGAGTCAATAAAAAAAAAACAAGAAGGAAAGAGACGAGGAGATAAAGTAAGGGCACGCGCGTATTTTCCCCCATTCTATTTGTAAGGGGGTGCAAGGAGTAATGCCACGGGATCCTAGCAAGGGTGAGTAGGCCGAGCCCTCACGTAACATCAACATTCTGGAAAATAAATTCTTCGGAATGGCACACGCGCGCATCTCGTGTAAATTCTACTCGGGTTGGCAGCGGCCCTCCTCCTGAGTCATCCCCATTTCTTCCCTACAACCTGGCTGTGGCTGCTGCCCAGAGAATATAGAAGGTATATCTAACAACGTGTGGGAATCACGCAACCGTTAGGGAAATATCAGTGTGACCAACGTTCATCATACGTAATTGCTCGACATTAGGGTTAGATAGTATTATAGATACCGGTAGGTGCTCCGACCATCGAGTTTCGATTTCCTTGGAGGAACATTTGAACGGACAAAATTAAATGGGAGAAAATGGAGGTTGTTCGCGGCAAGGGCGATACTACCCTCCGGGGAGGGTAGGAGACGTAAACTTTATTCCCGAGGGGACAGCGCGACAGGATGCCGACGCCACGTACGATTCAATTATTTTCACTTGGCCAAGTGCCGCTCGTCCTGCTCGTCCTGCTCGTCCTGCTCGTCATCTTCCCCTACAAGTCGACCGCCGGCGAATCGCTTGCTTGGAATTCCAGGACACTTGTGCACGACGCGAGTATTACTTTATTTCAAGAGAAAAGGACCGGGAATTCGCTCGGGTGCAGCAACGAAAAGGATCGCAATCGGAGTCGACGTTCTGAGGAGAAAATATATAACGTACAAACGAATACGCATCTATTTGCTTTCGTCGTTCAGTCCATTTTGAGATTTGGTCCTTATCCGTGACTCTGGAATACTCTGGGGTTGAATCTTTCGTACTTACTATATACATACATGTATTATATACAATACCTATCATACGGAAGAATAATTCTTTCGATGGATGTGAACTTTTCCTATAACCTAACTCTGGATTTTTGGGTTATCGTCGAATTTTCTGACACATGTTGAAACTGTCAAAATATTTAATGATCGGTAATATTACGAGGGTAAATTTGCTCTTCGACTCGGTAGCTTCAGGCGTCTCACTCGGTATGGGACATACTCAAAGTTATCGCACACTGGTGGCGGCGCCGTCGCTCGAGACATTTCCCGTGATGCATTGCAGGATTAGAATACGTGTTTCTACAATACCTTTCGTAACTCTGGTTAGTACCAAGAGACTCGCAGCTTTACGCATCGAAGGTAATCAGGTAATTACAGAGTTTGGTTGTTGTCGGTGTTGATAATTGTTAGGCGCTGTAGCTGCGGGTGTTCCTGACACTTCTGACACCTCTGACACCTCTGACGCGTCGCCTGCCTTCTCTCGATCAACCTTTCGAACCCTTTGAACCTTCGAAGAGGAGGGACTTTAGCGCAGGCGCCTGTGCGCCTTGCGTGCCTGTGTAGTCTTCTTCCTCCTATATTTCCCATGAAGTTACCTACAGCTATGCTAGGCCACGTGTTCGCCTACTCGAGTACCACCAGTCACGCTTAACAGCTCCAACGCTGCAGGGACACTTCGCTGGGCACGTTAATCATTCATTTCCAGCCGCCATATTACATTTCTTTTTCACTTCATAGGCAGTTGCGTCAACATGCGTGCAGACAAGGAATTCCGAGTGCAATAAGTAAAATCGCGAGAGATTTCGAGTATTACCGGAAATGAAAGTAGCTGCTGAGAGAGAAAGCACTCTTGTATTGTAAAATTGCGCACGTCGCACGTGTCGCGTGCTGTGGAGGATATCGTCGATTGTCGAAAAGGAAATACGAGGGCTGAAAGGAGGTCGAAATGAAAGAGGAGGGAAATAAAGGAAATAAGGGGAAGAAGACTCGCCATCTTCGTCCAGTTCCTTTCTTTCTTCTCTTTCGTCCGGAGTAAAAGCGCAAGTAAAGGAGGACGAAGCTGCTGCTATTGCTGCGGATGTGCTGCAGGGAGTCAGGGATGCGAGCGAAAGGCAGGAGGAAACGAGGGACGCAACGATGGAATAAACAAGCGGTAATTGGATGAGAATGGCAGGGGGGGGGGTTTGTTTCTGCACTTTACAATAGAGCTGAGGGCAGCTCGAATGAAGTAGCGCGATAAAATGTCTATTTGTCCGCCGACAGGGGTGGAAGATTGCTTCGAGATGGGGGAAGGGGGAGAGGGGGAAAGAATAGTAGAAATCCGGTAAATGCGGTAAACGTAGAGTAACGTTGTCTTGTTAGGTAAATATGATGGAAATCGTTGCGAACGAGTACACGTGGTAACGGGATAAGAATTGAGTCGACTCACCGTGCAGTGCCTTGAGGTACGCCTTGCCCGCATTGATCAGCTGCCTCGCGCCAGGGTTGAACTTGTCCAGAATATTCTAAAATCAGAATAGATAATACATTCGAGAGGGAAGAGAGGCAAGAAATGGAAGCGATAAGCAAAGGAGACTCGGAACGATCCAGGAAGTCGCAAGGACAGGCTGGCATAGTTTATATCTATATATACGGGCAACGAGGACTCGCGAGACTCGACGTTCCAGCTTTGACATGGAGTCGCCCGCTTTGTGGAATTCAAAATGGCGTAGGTTAACAACCAGATTATTATTCTCAATAGCGTAGTAGAGACGTACGAAGCAGCGCGATATCATGAGCAGCCTCAAGATTCCTGCCAATTAACATATTCCCTGCTGCTCCACTCGCTACGAGGTGCACGCTTGCGGCAGACTTTGGGTCTGTGTGCAATTCGATGAAGCACGAGAGACAAAAAGAAACACAGAGAGAGAGGGAGAGAGAAAGAGAGATGCTTTCTATTGCTACCTCTGTTGCCTCTCTTGTACACGCAGCATCATTTATGGCATCCAGCTTGTGGACGCAGGGCGCTGTGAGGGTAAGGGAGGAGAGTGAGCGGTGACTGTCGACGTGCCTGGATACGTGCGAGCAACACAGAGAGCGAGAAACCAAAGCGTCGCTCAGCATGAGTGCGAGCGAGACGGCGCTACGGTCCCTGATTCTCAGTCGCACTCGGGAGCTTGGTGGGGCATCTTTTTCTCCACTCGCTATGAACAGTAAATGTCTGGACACTTGTTCTCTCTCTCTCTCTCTCTCTCTCTCTCTCTCTCTCTATATATATATATATATATATATATATCTATCTATCTATCTATCTATCTATCTCTCTCGCATTAACGCCTAGTTAGCCTGAGCGACAGCATAGGAGAAGAAGATGCTCGATTCAGCTCCCGAGTGCGAATGAGGGACCGTATTGCCGTCTCGCTCCCACTGGTGCTGTGCGAAAAGGACGCACCGGGCGACGCCTTGGCGTCTCGGTTGCTTCATAGTGTGCTATCTCGTCTGCTATCTGATCAGGCGCCGCCAACTCTTCTCCTCTCTTACCTGACCGCACTGCGCTGGCAAGCTGGACACCATTAACGACGCTCAGGTACATTCTACATATCATCGATAACCTCTCTCAGGACAAAGGGACTTTGGAAAAGTATTGCGGCCGACACTGTCGCTCTCTTGAGGATTTTCCCGCGCAGGGAGTCTTTCGATAAAGTTCACCCTCGGAATCTGATCGAGCATCCCTGGGTTCCCAGTGTGGTTGCATTCTTGAATAAAAGATGGCACGCTTCGGTGGACTCTCTACGTTTTTATTGCTAGACTGGTCCATTCTCAGCTAAGCCTACGAAATCCTGCCAAACCACGTAGGACATCGTGGACGATGGGATTGGGAATTCCAAGCGACTCCTCGTGCGGATCGACAGTCTTTTGATAAGAAAAAAAAAAAAAAAAATCTCCTGAACTAAGAAGGCGCTCCTCTTGCGCCAAATATGATAACCAGCGCCAAAGACAAGACTCCATCACCATCATCCATCCTTCATGCTGTATCTGCAATGGACCACTGAGTCGACGCTCTTTCAGTTGTCCCACTTCCAATTGTAAGAGCGTCTAGTCAGAAGGAACTAGAAGTCGCGGCTACGTTCTACAACGCGAGATGCCAGATGCCAGATGATCCATGGACCCAATCGGATCTTCGTCTTTGACCTCCATTGGCGCCGAAGTCTCGGTTACGCGTTCACGTCTTTTCGACAAACAATTAGAATGTTCGTCGAATTAAAGTTTTTACTCTAGAAAACGAGAAGTCCGCTCACGTGGAATGCCAGAGCGAAAGCAATGGATCGACCAAATCGACCAAATCGATCGAAGAGCTTCCGACTGTCGGCTTACAGAGTCCAACTGTTCGTTTCCATAGCGACCAATCATGTACCTATACTGACCAATTAACCGCGTTGACGGCAGTTCAATTCGCTCTACAGCTCTGTACCCGATGTATCGCAACGGACGTTCTAATAGCGCGGAGGATTCCTTACGAGTGCGGCCAAAGGATTTCTTGTGCATTGTACGTTGAACGTTGACTGTATGGAGAGTCCCTGGTGAATTGCGTAAGGCAAATTGCAGGCTAACGCTGGCGCCAACGCTCGCTCCAGTCTCTGGAGAAAGGGTGCCGCATGCTGCGTCCAAGTAAAATCCCCGAGAGCCTGATGCCCCGTGGTCCGCGTTCCGTGTTCCGTGGACCTGTGGCTTCGTCATACGTCTGCACAGACTCTTCCCGCACGTCTGGCGACAGCTTGCACGGGCTGTGCTCCTCTGACGGGCAGCCACATCCGGTAAAAGTGGCTCATGGGTCGGACGCAGTGCGCAGTAATTTTCACGAATCGTGTAATCCGTTAATTACCTGTCCATGCTGGTAGGAGGGGGAGGAAGCGTCGATGGGATGGAGGTCGTTAAAATCCATAAAATTCATTACTGTTTAAACACATTTTCGCATGTGGGATGCTGGACGGGAGGTTAGCATCTCATTTTTATAAATGCCGTTTTTTTTTAGCTAACTGATCAGACCTATTGTTAAAACCCATCAGGAACTATCAGACTCTGCTGGATGCGAAGGGAACTGTAGTTTTACTTTGGGATGCCTCCACATGAGATGCTAACTTGACACTCGCGTCGATGGCCGAGTGTGCGAAAGGAGTACATACGCACGTGCGTATCTCTTTCCCCGCTTTCTTCGCACTCGCCGACATTTCATTCGAAATCCCAATTGCGAACATGTCGAGAGATCGAGAGATCGAGAACCAAGAACAGCAGCAAGACGAATTCAAATGTGTCCCAGTCCTTTTAGCTCGATCGCGATTGACTCTCTCGACTGATGGGGAATTTTGCAAAAAGTTGAGACCGCGGAACCAGCTGTACCAGCTGTACCAGTTGTACCAGCTATACTGGAACACAGGGACGCAGCCGAGCGGGTGTGCAAGTACATAAGTACGTGCATGAACGCCGAGTCGCGTGAAAGCCGCTTTCGCTCGAAGATCCTCTGCTTACTTAGAGGTACAGCTGCAGGTTAGAGATTAGAAAGAACGCGAGTGGAGTAGTCCTCCGCGATGGATGCTGCTGGATGCTGGATGCAGCCACATCTTTCGCATTTTTACGCGCACTGGGAGCAACGTCAACGGGCTCTGGCGCTCTGGAGTCTAGCGGCTGGCGTCCCTCTCCACCCTCTCCTCCCTCGCCATCGTTCCGTTGGGATCGATTTCCTTTTGTTTCCAAGCTGTACTTGTCGGCCTGCCGACTTGTGATGCACATCTGTACGTAGAAAATCTAACAAGTGCAGAAAAAACCAGCGACCGGGGGGTCAATGACCTGAAGCACGATTTTTAGTCGCGGCCTCTCGCGAGCATTTATATTGTAATTTATGTAAATGCTTCTTTCGGAATTGGGATGGAGGAGAAAGAGAGAAAAGGGAAGAATGGAGGAAGAGAAGGAAAAAGAAAGCACACAGCCAGAGGACATGGGATTGGTAGCCATGTGGATGCGAAGGTCACGACTCAGATTATTGCTTGGGTTTTGAGAGAGCACTCTGTCATGATCAAACAGTATAGCGGGGAAATGAGTGGAGAGCGTCAAAGGGGGACGACGTGGAATGGAAGGACAAATAAAAAAGTAACAAAAAAAAGGCAAAAGAACGGAATATTCCTCTTGAATAGATTTCCAACGCGCAGCCGTTCACAATAATTTTCGACTTTCACAAAGAGAGTCAACTCTCGATGGGATTGATCGCGGAATCACGTACTGCACGGTTGATACTAATGCAATAGGGAGAACGGGACAAACATTTTCCTACGCTGCTCTCTCTCCCTCTCCTGCGTACTGTGACAAATATAAAACTAAATTTAAATTATTTTTTCTCTTTGCTTTACAATATTTCGTAAACAGTGACAGCAAACTTTCAAATATTAGATTCATATGTAATTTTGCTGACGGGATTAATGATAGTACATAAGAGATCTTTTGGGAGGGAGGGGGGGGGTGAGAGAGAGAGAGAGTGGGAACGAGGGAGCAGAAGACAAAAAGTAGACGGGAGAAGAGAATTCGAAACGCGTTAAAGTTATGTCGGACGATCATACATATTTATGGTAAATTTCTGAAAGCAGAAAAACATTCGTTTCTGCCAAACACGTGGAGCCGGCTCCTTTTTTATTCGAGCGCACTCGGTTGGTAAACAGGTATAGCAGGGTACCTACCAGCGCGTGCTTCTCTTACAGAGCGAGAAGCCAAACGATAAATAAATCCACCCACGTGAAACTGCGGATCCTTCAGCCGTCTCCCGTTCGGCAGAAGAATAAACTGCCCGTTAAGGCACTGTTATGGACGTTATGGACGTTATGGACGTTACGGACGTTACGGACGTTACGGCCTTACGGGCCCAATGGTAATTCCAATGTCGCGCAGAAGAGGCCCGCGGGGTCCTACAAGATTCAAATCTTCCCCCTATCCCCCTATCCCCCTATCCTCGATGTAATCTTGCGCCTGCCCCTCCCCCTGCCGCCGCCTTTCTCCTGCATCTTTTTTTAAAGGCGCGAGAAACGTTACGCGTGCCTCCATACACAGATGAGCACAAGTCGCGCGCTTATATATCTATACGTAGAGGAAGCACCGGTTCCAAGTGCCTCAGGGATTCCCGGTTCAAGGTCCTGTGCTGACCTCTCCACCTCGAGTCCTTTTCCGGACACTTGGCACAGTTTTTTAAATCCTTAACGAATAACACTCGATAAGAATGAGACTCGTGCGTCGTGCGTCGTGCGATCGTCCTGTCGAGAGACCGGAAGAATCGAGGTCGAGAAGCGACCTTGACCAACCAGAGCGTATATACGCATGTAGGTATAGTACTCGAGCCCATTCAGTCCCCATTCCGAAGCCATTGGGTCTCTCGCGGTCCAGTCGGTTTGGAAGGACAAAGGAGAGAGATGGTCTCCCTGGTCTCCCTGGTCTCCCTGGTCTCCCTGGCTCTTCCGACTCCTGAGCGCACTGCTGCAACCAAGAGAGAGAGAGAGAGAGAGAGAGAGGCGAGTCTCCATTCTTCCTTCTCGTCGTCTCTTCGGGTCTTTTGATGCACGACGAATCGTACACCGTATTCTCCTCCTGCCTGCTTCGTCTAACTGTACATCCTCCAGTCATTTGGATTTTTCAAACTTTACTATTGATAGCAGGATGCCTGCGTTGTACCTTTAGCAGAAGTGGCTTTAAAATTTGTGCCTTGTAGCCGCGATCACAAAACATTGGAAAATTCCGCCTAACGGGATTCGTCAAGAGGAAATAATGGTATTTGACGTCACGTGACATTTCTAAGATACCCATAACATTGAGCCGTTGTATAAGTTGGAACTTTAGCATCCTTTACATAATGGAGACGGTTTGCATTGTGCATGCAGGGGGTAGCGAAGTGTTCATAGGAGATCAGCTAGATATATCATAAGATCATAACTGTGCGGGTACGGCACAGTGCTGGCTGCCGGAATATTCGGGGTGATGGCAGAGTGATGAAACCCTGGAACGCTGGAATGCTGGAACGTCGGAACGGGGGAGCAGGCAGCTACGTGTAGGTCGACTGGAATGGTAACTCTATGTATAGTAGACATTCGAGTGACAAGGTACGACAAGGTACGAGAGACGTGGGGACGAAGGAGATATTAATTGGCTTCCGATGCACCCCTATATTGCTATGTTCAGTCTCGCTCTGGGTGCTAACCGAATCCATGAAATTAAGGGATCAGTTCGAATTACCGCATAGCACTGTGGAACATACG